AGAGAGAGAGAGTCTTTTTATCGTTCTCAGCCCTTGTGTAATATCAATAATGATAATATTATTATTATTGTTGTTATTACCATTATTATTGCTGTCAGTACTATTATTATCATTATTTCATATGTTATTGTTATTATTATCTTATATATTACTATTATTATTATCATTAATATATATTATTATTATAATTTTTACTGTTAGATCATTATTTTTATAATTAATAATAATTAATTGATAAGTATATAAGTATTGTTATTATTAGTGTTGTTATTATTATTACTATCTTCATTATTATTTTCATTATCAATAATTTTATCATTATCATTTTTATTTCCATTATCATTATTTTAATTATTGTTATCAATGTCATCCTCATTAATATCATTATTAGTATTGTCGTTAGGTTAGGTTAGGTTAGATTAGGTTAGGTTTGCTTAGGTTAGGTTAGGTTAGATTAAGTATCTCTCTCTTTCTCCTCTCTCTCTCTCTCTCTCTCTCTCTCTCTCTCTCTCTCTCTCTCTCTCTATATATATATATATATATATATATATATATATATATATATATGTATATGTGAATATATATATTTACATATAAATATAAATATATATATATATATATATATATATATATATATATATATATATATATATATATATATATATATATATATATATATATATATATATATATATATATGTATTCATATATTTATTTATACATATATGTATTAGGGTTATAACTTTTAATTTTTTTTTCCAAAATCAAAGTCCTGCATCATGATTGGATGAACTGTTTGCTATAATTGAAGAAACCCAACTCCATTTTCAACACTCTTTTAAAAAGTCCCCCGAAACAAAAGATTAAATACACATTGCAGCCAAAAATATGAAATGCGAAATCGTGCTAAGTCATCACAGGGGCATTACAAGTCAAGTTGACTAAAAATGGATCATCCTAATAAACTGGAGTTCTAGTTTTTATTTTTGCTTTCACTTTATAACCCATGTAAATTTGGGGAAATCTGTCTCGTTTAGTAGTGACACATTGTAGCCTACAGCTTTCCCAGAATCCTGGTTTCAGTTTCACTTTCCCTGTATAAGCATGTTGTCCGTGGTTTCTTTGCTTTGATATTGTTTGCAATAAACCTTTGGTTCTTTTTATTTGGTATCCTCTGGGGTATAGATCATCTCGGGTTTATAAAATACAATGCAGTATTTTCATAATCATATATTACACAAAATGTACATAAAACACAGAAATGTATACAGCAGATCTTAGGAATCCGTCAGTGAAGAGTTGGGTTGAAGTAGTATCCCAGCCAAGACAGTCATGCACCTGAGGTAGAATTGTACAGGAGCCACTGGTAGAGATGGCTGCAGCTATCGGCTGCTCGGCCCAAATTAAAGAGGCTGCAATAAATGGTTGCGTTATAATAGTCCATTTAATTTTCAGATCACTTCACAACACTTCACTTTTTTAGTCATCACCATTCACCACTTGTTAAATATATATGTACACAAGATATACAAAAATAAATAGAAACACTTACAAAGTGTTCAGGTGTGGAGCTCGGAGTAGAGTGGCAAACCATAGAATGGCAACCACCGACGAGGGTTGACATGAGGCTTTGGTTGGTTCGAAACTGTCATCCGAACGGTGGAGGCGAACCAAAGGCACACTTACACCTCACACACACACCATATACGCACACACATACGCACAACACAAGTACAATTAGGTTCAACACGAGATAGTGAAACCATCACTAAACAAACCCTTTACAAAGCCCCCCAATTCAACTTAAAATCACAAGATTTTAGTTAAAAGTGGGGTTTCACTCAAATTAACTCAAGACTAAATACTTGACGTAAGCTAGTTACGTAAGAAAGAAAAAAAACTTTATACAGAACATCGGCTGAGTATGTCAGCACCAACATTTTCTTGCCCTTTTACATATTCTATTGTGACTGAATGTGACTGAAGGGCAAGGGACCAGCGCATAAGCCGCCCGTTGTTGTTTTTCATGTTTTTAATATATTTAGGTCTTATACATTTGGCTGTTCACGTCTGCGTGAGCGGATGTTAATTGAGCCGATTGTTCTAATCTAGATCGTAGATCTAATACATATTGATAGGTACTTTTAACTTCATCAATATAATCTTTAGTCCGCAAATTATGTAAAATGGATAAAGGGCCACGTACTTTACGGCCGTACAGTAACTCGAATGGACTAAATTTAAGCGTATCGTGGGGAATCTCCCGATACGCAAACAAGACAGATGGGATATAACGATCCCAGTCATGAGGTCGCTCGCTGCAGAGCTTTTTCAACATCGCTTTTAATACTGCGTGAAACCGTTCGACGGTGCCATTACAACAAGCGTGATACGGACTAGTATATAATGCTTGAATAGAAAGCAGTCGGTTGATCTCTGCCATCAAATCAGACTTAAACTGAGTACCACGATCAGAAAGAATCTCTTTCGGCATTCCCACGCGAGCGAAAATAGTTAACAACGCTTCAGCAACAGTTACCGAATCTATATTTCTCAGTGGAACTGCCTCGGGAAATCGGGTGGCCATGTCAACCAAGGTCAGCATGTACTTGTGGCCTCGGCTAGAGGGCGGGGAGATCGGCCCGACGATATCAATCGCCACTCGGGAAAACGGTTCGCTAATGATTGGCATCTGAACCATAGGCGCCTTTCTGATCTTGCCCTTAGGAACGGTTTTCTGGCAAGCATGACAAGAGCGACAGTAGCGTTTGATCTCTGCGTCTGCTCCTGGCCAAAAGAATTCGAGGAAGATTTTTTCTGCAGTCTTTCGATGAGAAAAATGACCCGCCAGTGGGGAATCGTGAGCCATAGATAAAATTATAGGAATAAATCTACGAGGCACAACCAATTGTTTCTCACCGACTTCGTTCGTGTTTACTCTTTACGCAAATTCGGTAAATCAACCCATTCACGCGTTCGAACTTTACCGAGCGACTTTTTACAGTGACAATGGTTTTACTTATTTCTTTAGAACGAATGTGTTCTAGAGAAGGGCAGGAAGACTGAGCATCTATGAAATCTTGTTTCGAGACGTTCTCAAATTTAAAATTAGGAACTATTAATTTATCAGGACCGATATTTTCCTTCGCTTTGGCGGCCCGCGTCGCGACAGCATTAACATCGCTCCTCTGAGGTGTTTCGGTTACTTTTATACTCGGTATGTTCACGCTCGACACTTTGACACCAGGCACTATACCGACGAGGATATCCGTGAATTTTATCGGAGCGACCACGACGTTAAACCATCCATTCAGGAATTTACTCTTAATCAAACAACGTGCGGTGGGGAATTCGCGCCGCTCCCCCAGGTAGTCATATAGTGTAACTACCTTTCCTCGCTTGACGGAGGCGGGCACGAGCGATTCCTTCACTATAATTGACGAGCAACCTGAATCAAAAAGTACATTTACCGGCTTGCCATACAACGATCCTTCACACGTAATACCCTGATCGTAATTTATGTCAGCCTCAAATGCAGCATTTACTGTCTGAAAAGTCTTAGATTTCGAGAATTTAAGTTCGGGACAAGAAGGACGTATGTGACCCGCCTTAGAACAATGGTGACAAATCACATCCTTAAGGGAAACATTCGGGTCTTTCTTGAAAGCAGCGTTGTCTTTAACAGGCGTTTTAAGACTTTTGACAGCTCTATGGGCGCAACGAAACCTATCCGCTGCTTGGGCCATTTCCACTGTGCTAACGAACGTTCGTTCTTTGAGAAAGATGCGAAGGTCAAGAGGGCAGTTACTCAACAGCTGGTCGCGTATCAAAAAGTCGAACAACGAGTTATACTCCCTCTCCACATCACTCATTATTAACCAGTGATCTAAATACTGGGTCATTCTCGTAATTAGCTGAACGTAAGTTTCGTCTTCACCCGCTTTACTTTCTTTGAACTTTTTACGATAGGAGTCTGCGTCAACGTTATATGCCTTCAACAATGCATCTTTTAATTGTCTATAATCTTTCAAGACATCGTCTGGCAAACTTACGTAAATTTGCAAGGCCTTACCTCCCAAGAGTGAACCGAGATAAACATGGTAGTCATTAGGATCCCATCCTTGCAAACCTGCTAATTTCTCAAACCTACGTAAAAAATCATCAATGTCGTCATTACCATCGGTGAAGTTAGGCATTCTTAATTTTGGGTAATGATCGCGACTGTCATTTAGCGAAGGGTTCTCGGGTCGTACGCGAGCAAGGGCCAACTCGTGAGCGCGCTGCTTATCAGCCTCGTTCGCTTCATATTCGCGCTGTCTTTCCCTCTCCTGAACCTCTAACTCTTCGCGTTTCAGATCTCGCTCTTTCTGTCTCTCTTCTCGTTCTCTTTGCTTTTCCTCTCTTTCGTTTTGTTCTTTGTATCTTACTTCCTCCTTCAAAACCAAAGCATTTATGTCTGCGGCAGAAAGACCGGCTTCCTTAGCACACTTAACGAGCTCTACTAAGTTTAGCGACATGTTTAAAATTAAAAAGAATCAATTAAACGAATGTAAATTCGATTGACAAAAGAGATGAACGTGTAAATCACGCTATCTAAATTCCGCAAATCAATAATTCTAAAACAAGAATATCGATTATAAAGAAGTACAAAATATCTAAGCACACACTTAGAGTTTAAATTCTGTTCCAAACTGACTATGCAAGCGAAACAGTTAAAAGAAAACGGCGCACAGGCTATCGCACAACAACGGCTAGTCTGACTTAGCGCGAAAACATCGTTAACAGCAATGGTAGGCTTACGCACAAGTGTACAAAGTACAAGCCACTACGGTTAAGATAAAACAGTTATTTAAACAACCACAGGGGTACACCACAGTCGTAATTGACTGATCTCCCTGTATACAGCGAGGCAAAATAGAATCACCTAACCACTGAACACTCGCGACGATGCACGTCGGTAACCGGTGAAAAGGAGGCACGATCGGACTAGATCGACTCTTAACCTGATCGCGTATGACGCAATATTACGTATTAACATACAACTCGCAGCGCAAGTCGTCACACTCCTTCACCAAAAAATATCCAGAACACCATTCCTCCATTTGGTTCTCCGAATCACCATTCTATGGTTGGCCACTCCTCCGGGTTCCACATTACATTCTGTGATCATAAGAGAAAGAAAAAAAAATTAAGTACATACAAATATACGAGCCCCGAGTAATCTATAAGAGGATCCTACTCACTGCGCCAGATTGTCCGTGGTTTCTTTGCTTTGATATTGTTTGCAATAAACCTTTGGTTCTTTTATTTGGTATCCTCTGGGATATAGATCATCTCGGGTTTATAAAATACAATGCAGTATTTTCATAATCATATATTACACAAAATGTACATAAAACACAGAAATGTATACAGCAGATCTTAGGAATCCGTCAGTGAAGAGTTGGGTTGAAGTAGTATCCCAGCCAAGACAGTCATGCACCTGAGGTAGAATTGTACAGGAGCCACTGGTAGAGATGGCTGCAGCTATCGGCTGCTCGGCCCAAATTAAAGAGGCTGCAATAAATGGTTGCGTTATAATAGTCCATTTAATTTTCAGATCACTTCACAACACTTCACTTTTTTAGTCATCACCATTTCACCACTTGTTAAATATATATGTACACAAGATATACAAAAATAAATAGAAACACTTACAAAGTGTTCAGGTGTGGAGCTCGGAGTAGAGTGGCAAACCATTGCTGGCAAGCCGAGGGTTGTCATGAGGCTTTGGTTGTTCGAAACTGTCATCCGAACGGTGGAGCGAACCAAAGGCACACTTACACCTCACACACACACCATATACGCACACACATACGCACAACACAAGTACAATTAGGTTCAACACGAGATAGTGAAACCATCACTAAACAAACCCTTTACACATGTACACTTTAGAGTTGGGGAAATCTGTTTTGTTCGGCTAGTGATATGTTGTAGGCCTAAAGCCATCCCAGAATTCTGGAGTTTCAGTTTCTGTTCTCACTTTTATACATGGACTACCATGTCGAGTTGGTGAAGTTTGTGTTGTTCAAGCTGTTCCATAGAGAATGGTTGGCTCAGAATGTGTCACAGAAAGAGTTACAGCGAAGTTGAGAGGATCAAGAAGTTTTGGAAAAAGAATGTGATTGACTTCAAGAAATCCACGATGGTGAGAGGGCCTATCCCATCAGTGCAAACCCCATTAATGGACAGAACAAGAATGCCACTAAAGAGAGACATTGCCCGCTTTAAACAAATGGCACCAGACATCAAAGGCCGGAGAGATAGAAAAGAAAATTTCCAAGGAGGTGAATCTTTTGTGGACTGAACAACTGAACTTTCCAATAATCTCCGATCAAGCAGTAAGTGCAGAGTTGGAGAAAGCGGTGCAAGTGTTTGATGAATGCACCAGACGAGGAGATTATGGATGTTTAGATGGTGCATTTGATGTCACAAAGTTGGATGGGGAATGGCTGAATGCTGAGGACAAAGAACTGTGCAAGGTGCAGCAGGAGAGTAGGGACAAGTGGGCTACAGCGCTAGAAAGTACGCTGACCTTAAAACGATACATCCATCCAAAAGACGGAAAGCCAGACACCTGCTAGCATGTCAGCGCCTTCATTTGACGCTGTGCAGGAGACTGACACTGAATCGGAACCAGAAGACTTGAGAGATAAGAGCTACCAGCCCGGTGATGCTCACTGAAGGAAAGAAGAAAGAAAGAAAAAAAGAAGAGAAGAAAATAAAAATAAGAATATACAGACTGTATGTATATATATCTATGTGTATATATGTATATATATATATATATTCATATAAATTTATATACATGCATACTAATCGCATAACACATAAATGCATCGTGTAACCACGAAAAAATCCACGGCGAGGGTTATCCGCATTTCATTTACCGTTTACCCCCCCCCCCCCCCCCTGTACACACCGAGACCTCGCGGAGAGGCCGTGCGGCGCCCGCGCTCCGGCGCCTCTTCCCTTGCACACGGATCTCTGTGAGTAGTCTGTGGTAATAGTTATGCTTGTAATGGATTTAGAAATACTTCCTCTGCCGAGTGCCAAGTGCTGTTGTGGTGACCGTTAGAGCTGAGTGCTGAGCTGAGTGTCGTCCCGAGCGCTGTATATCGAGGCAGGCGGGCCGGGCGCGGGGGAGGGGGAGGACTCGGTGGATAACTGCCCCCCCCCCGCGACTGAAGAGTGCGCTTCAGTCTGTAGTTCGGTGGACAGCCCCGCTGAATCCATTGCCGCGCAACGGGCGAGTGCTGAAGGGGATCCCGACGCCCAAGCGAGCGCCGTTGACGGAGCGAGTGAAGCCGAAAGATAAGAAAAGAAGAAAGCTCGCCAACGCCGGCGAGACGCCACCGGCACCAAAGGAGAATTGTGTAAGACACGT